AGCTTTCTATTTCCTCGTTTTCCCCTTCAATTTTTTTCATATTGCTTTTTTTTTTAAAAAAAAAAAATCATTTTATGCGGTAAAAAAAAAAAACCCTAGTTAAATTTGATTCCCTCAGGGATGATGATGATGATGGTATATACAATTCAATTAGTAAATCTATGTCATGTATTCTTCTAGGAAAATAACAATCTCCCCTTTTTTTTGTTTAACATTTCGCTCATTCTATGTTGTTTCAGCTCCAGAATGCTTTTCTAAAAGAAAAAAAATTAAGTAAGCTGTAGAGACCATGAAGTTGTTAGCGTCATCTATTTAGTTGTTGATTGTTGTGTGATTGGCACTGGATGGCGGAAACGAAGAAATAACCGAATTTTTGTAGGTTGGGAAAGGTGGGAAGGGAGAAAAATCTGATCTTTATTTCCTGTAGAGTTTTTTCGTTTTTGAATCATCTTTACCAATGCCATATAATTCTTTCAAAGGTTACGTCATCTAAAAATATTCATGCCAATTGCAAAATCTTGGATGCTTACTTGCAAGAAGCCATGTCAAAAGGTAGCAAACCAGGCTCGTTTCTTGGTATCATGCAGTTTGAACTTAAGAATGTAGGAAGGGAATAAAATTAAGGCACCTTTTTGTTCCAAGACTATCTCTTTTAAGGTGGAAAATGAATGGATAAACTCATTCGTTTATGATGATAAACAGAGCTTGTGGTCAAAATTCCAAATACCCAGAGTAAAATGGTCTTTTCTAGATGCTTTTATTGTTGTGTGACTTATGATCTTTGTTTTGACTTCAAGTTAGTAATGTGAGTTCAGTTATCAAGTTGATATTTTTTTGCAATTCCCTCCCCCAGAACCCCAGGTTTATGTGGCTGTGTAAACTTGTGATGCTGTGTTAGCATCTAGTTATGAAGCACTTTTTTCCCTGTTGTTTTCATTTTTTTATGTAAAGATAAAGTTATGGTTATTGTGGCATATCTGGTTTTGTTTTGTATTTTGACTTTGCTTCCTGTTTCTACCATCCTGTTTACACCATAAATTGCAAAATTTTAAATTAATGCCACGTGTAAAATTTTTATTAGCTGGAGGAGTTTGAGCCATGTCAGATTCAGATTTTGGGCCCCATGACAAATCAGCACATGTGTTGGCAAAATAGGAGAGGTAAAGATAATGTTTTATGAAGTAATTATCTTCTTGAAACAGAAAGAGATAATGGCAGCTGGAAAATAGGGGAGGATCACAGTTAAAAGGGGATTTTATATGATAAAGTAAAGGTGGCGAAATCTGAAAGGGGATTAGACTAGGTCAAAAGGTGAGGTGTCCCACTACTCCAACAAACTACCCATGATTGAGTAACTGCCGGCTCAAGAGGAACAAAAAGGAAACTTTCGCAAGAGGAACAGACGGCCAGCCCTACTCAAACATCAGCAAATTTTCATACTTTGATTTTCTCTGCACATGCTTCTAGATTTCGGATTTCAGCACAGATTTCGGATTTCAGCACATATTCCATTAGAATTAGGTTGTTTTTTTCATCATTTCAGTAGACAAATTAATTCCTATATTCAGTTAAACAATTTCCTTTCATGCAATGAACTTCAATCCTTCAAGTTTATGCAAGGTATTGTTTTCTTTTTATTTGTAATTAATTTAATGTTTATGTTAAGTAGCATTGCATCAATGATTACTTATGTGGCTTTCATGCTTCTTTCCAATTTCAAGTTCTTTAATTTCTTTACTGTTCACGTTTAATTTTAGTGCTAATTTAGGAGTAAATTTCCAGTTTTGCAGCAATTTAATTTCCAAATCTGTCAACAGATTGCATTTTAATTTTACCATAAGCATGTTTAATTTAATTTAAGTACGTTTCTTTCTCGCAAGTTATTTTAAATTGCAGGTAATTTAAGATAATTAGGATTTGATAATTTTAAGTCACGGTAGTGTTTAAGTCCTTGGAGTTGTCCAAGACAGATTTTGTAACCCAATCTGCAGGAAGGCATCCCTCCCTTTTGCAAATCGTCTGAAGGCACAATTTCAATTTTAATCCAACGTTCTTCCCGCCATCTGCGAAGAGGTCGACCGTGAGGAAGGAGAGGGTCGTTGGGAAAATCCTCCTTTCTTACTTTCAACAAAGTAAGTGACACGCCCGCATCCAGATTTCACACGTGCGAGGCCACTAGAGGATTTTTTAGGAAACAATCTTTTTTTGGCACGCCCGGTGGGACATCATCGTGTCTTACTTACAGTTTTCAGATCCGTTGCTCTCTTCAGCAAAAAAAAGTGCAATTATGCCACCAAAAAGAAACGTTGGGAAGGCTGCCCAGACTTTACATATTGGGCTTGGTGATGGCAGTCTAGCACACTCGGAAGGGGAAAATGAGCCAATCATTCCACCACCATTGTCACCAATACTTGGGGAGCATTCTTTTGTCAATCCTACTTTCAACAAGGATAGTGAATCTGGAGATGATGTCGCTCAATCTGGTGATTCCCTTGTGAAAGCTATGTCATATCAGATTAGCATCATAAGGCACACACTGCTGGAATCTGAGGAGAAATCTCGACAAAGAAGCTAAGAGGTTTCTAGACAGTTGGATGAGTCTTTTCAAAATCTGGCTCAGAATTTGGCTCAAAGTGTAGCTCAAAGTGTAGCCGACATGCGGCAATCCAATGAAGAAAGTAACAGAATCTGGCGTGAGCAAAATGTAGAAAATTGGAGAGCTTTCCAAGCTGAAACGGAACGAATGCAAGAGGCATTTCGAAGTGTCAGAATTGAGCCTCAGCCACAAACAGCAGATCTTCAAAGGTAGAATCAGAATATTTCAGCTCCAGCACTCGGGGGGGCAAGTTAATCTGCCACAACCACCTCCCCAGATTCAGCAGGTAGCAGGCGGACCAATGCAGCCAGATCCTGTTGAGGCTGCACCACGTGCAACAGATCTAGGTAATCACCAACAGCCCAGATATCTGCCACCTCTGCGCCGACCGAATGGAGGACACCCACAACATAATGCACCTCCACAAAGGGAGCATTTCCAGCCTTATGTGCCACCCATGCAACAAAATCTTCCAAATCTGCCAGGACAGTACATCAATCGTGATCAGATCATCGACATGGTGCAGGAGGCTTATAGTTCAGTTTTGAGGCCTCTTGTCAGACCTGCTTACAGAAAACCATATCCAGATTACGTAGACCAAGAGAATCCTTTTCCAAGGGGGTTTAAAGTTCCAGAATTCACTCTATTTTCTGAAGATGGTGGATATTCTATAATTGAACACGTAGGCCGCTTCACAATTTAGTGTGGCGAGGCCTCCGGTGATGATAATCTGAAGCTTAGACTTTTTCCTAGTTCTTTAACTAGTACAGCTCTCACCTGGTATCTGAGTCTACCACAGAATTCAGTTTATACTTGGAGGCAGATGGAAGATCTTTTTCACATCCAGTTCTACCGCAGTGAGCCAGAAGTGTCCATGGCAGATTTATCTCGTCTGATGCAGCGACCTGGAGAAACATATGAGGCCTTTCTGGCCAGATTTCGGAAGGCCAGACTTAAGTGCAGAGTCACCCTGCCAGAACAGGAATTTGTCAAGCTGGCACAAAATGGGCTGGACATTGAATTGAGGAAAAAGTTTGAGGGAATGGAGTTTCGTGATTTCTTTGAGTTGTCTTACAAGGTGGCTCGTTATGAGAATTTATTGCGAGAGAACACACAAAGGAAATCTGCATCTCATGGGACTTATTATGGTGATGCTAACTTTGATTTGGACGTGGCAGAAGTGGTGGCAGACAAGCCAGTTGTTTGCCCAGATTTGGTCAAAGTGGCCCAGCAGACCGACAGAACAGTAAAACGTTATGTCGGAGAGGCTGGAAAACAATATACCTTTGACATTTGAAAAACTAATGAAATTTTTGACCACCTTAAAAAGAGTGGTCTAATTAAGTTGCCGCCGAGACATAAAATCCCAATGGTTGGCGAAATTGGTAATAGAGAATATTGCAAATATCACAATTCTTGGAAACATTCCACTAATGATTGTGTGATTTTTCAGAATGTTTTACAGGAGAAAATCGACAAGGGAATTCTGCGTTTTCCAGATAAGGCCAAAGAAACTATGGGAGTTGATGCAGATCCATTCCCTACCATGTTTGTTGGGGTGAATGCGGCAGATCTCAGAAGCATTGCCAGGGATAGATCTCAAACATACTATAGGCGCAGACTTGCAGCTGATGATCTGAGGTGGGTCATCGAGGAGGCCAGAGCCCGCAGAAATCAGGTCAGATCAGGCTCATACCGAAAGAGACAGCTCGGGGGGCATAACTCAACTCAATAGAAAAATAATGCAAATCTGGCAGAAAAGCCCAGAATGGCGAAACCACCACCCAGATCTCCAACCAAACGATGGGAACGTGTGGTGCATCCAAAATTTCCTAAAGGTCAAAATCCAAGGACCTTGAGGAGGCACTTACAACGCAAAAGGGCTGCAGAAAGACACCGACAGCAGATTGCAGACTTGGGGGGCATGGCAGATCAGGCTCAGCCGCTCCTAGCAAGAAGAAAATCAGTGTGGGTCCGTAAAGAAAAAGGGAGCACATCTGGTCAGAATACTCCAGAAAAAGAGGAACCACCCAAAAGTCCAACATCGCCTCGAATTCTGGTTGTGGAATCAAATGAAGAAACTAGTTTGAAGGCGAAGTTTGACGTGTCAGATAAAGCGGAAAATTCATCAGATGTAATCTGTTTTGGTGAGTTTTCCGTGAATCTATCTTGTTTGGTGATCACTCTTCCTTTGGTCTTTCAAGCAAGAGACCAGTCAGAATCTGCAGTTTGTCACCAGACAGATTTGACTGAAGAAGAAGTCATTGAGATCCCAACTAAGGAAGATGGTGGTATGGATTTAGCAGATAAAATCATTTTCGAAAAACCAGAAGAGAGGATGGCCAGACATATCAGGCTATTATACATTTATGCACATTTGGATGGTATGCCGATAAATTGAGTTCTGGTTGATAATGGAGTAGCTGTCAATGTTTTGCCAACTTGTATTCTGCACAAAATTGGCAAATCTTTGGGTGATTTAATGGAGACAGAAGTGACAATCAGTGATTTTACTGGTGGAGTAAATCGCTCAAGTGGAATTCTGCCAGTGGAACTTACCGTTGGAAATAGAACTCTCATGTGTGCCTTCTTTGTGGTTGACATCATTGCCACTTATAATGCATTGCTTGGGAGAGATTGGATACATTCCAGCTGGTGTGTTCCTTCAACTCTGCATCAAAAATTGATATTTTGGAATGGTGGCAGAACTGAAGTCGTGACAGCAGATGACAAGCCATTTGTGGCAAGTACCAACGCAGTGGAAGCTCGTTATTATGATGAAGATATTGGGACTATCCGTTTCTTTGGGATGGATCGCTATGGCAGACCTTCTAGAATTACTGCCTGCACCAGATCTGCAATGGACAGACAGACTGTGAAAGAGGTGTGTGATGAACTACTTTGGCCTACAGCAATTGTTCCTTTTAGGCCAAGGGAGGAACCTGAAATCGAAGAAATTCCATGAAGAAAGACTGAATTAAGCACCAGAAAAAGGAGGCCGTGGAAGAAATCAAGAGAAAATTAGCGGCTTACCTTGCTGAAAAACGGATCTGTGTAGGCAGATCTGAAGTAGTCTATGAAGGTGAAGAGGAAGACTTGAAGGATCAAATAACACTAGAGGAATTAGATCTGGCACCAGCAAAACTTGATGATCTGAAGGCAGAAGTACAAGATCCCCTGGAAGAGGTAAATCTGGGTACTGAGGCAGATCCGAAAATTACTTTTATTAGCGGTTCTCTTGAGCCGTGTTTGCATGCTAAAATTATCGATATTTTGCGTGAATACAAGGACTGTTTTGCTTGGGACTATTCTGAAATGCCAGGTCTGGACAGAAATCTGGTTGAGCACAGATTACCAATTAGAGCAGATTTCAAGCCTTTTAAACAGCCGCCTAGACGAATGTCTCCAGAAGTTACCTTAAAAGTTAAAGAAGAAATAGAGCGGCTGTTGAAGGTTGGTTTCATCAGAACTTCCAGATATGTGGAATGGTTATCTAATGTGGTTTCCGTGGTTAAAAAGAATGGCAAGCTGAGAATCTATGTAGACTTCAGAAATCTGAATCTGGCAACACCAAAAGATGAATATCCTATGCCTATTGCAGATTTATTGGTGGATGGTGCAGCACGCCACCGAATTCTGTCATTCATGGATGGCCACAATGGGTACAACCAGATTTTTATAGCAGAAGAGGACATTCCAAAGACCGCTTTTTGCTGCCCAGGAGCTATTGGTACGTATGAATGGGTAGTAATGCCATTTGGTTTAAAAAATGTTGGTGCAACTTATCAAAGAGCCATGAACGCCATCTTCCATGACATGATTGGTCGTTTTATGGAAATTTATATTGATGATGTGGTTGTGAAATCTAATGAAGATGAAGAACATCTGGAGCATTTAAAGCTGGCTTTTGAAAGAATGAGAAAGCATGGTCTGAAGATGAACCCTTTAAAATGTGCATTTGGCGTTTCTGTTGGAAATTTTCTAGGATATCTGGTGCATGAGTGAGGTCTGGAAGTAGATCAGAACAAGGCAAGAGCTGTTATTGACACACAGCCGCCAAGAAGTAAGAAGGAATTACAAAGATTCCTTGGGCAAGTAAATTTTCTGAGACGTTTTATCTCAAATCTGGCAAGAAAAACCAGAGTTTTTTCACCACTGCTGAAGCTGAAATCAGAAGCAGATTTCAAATGGGAGAAACACCATCAGACCGCCTTTGAGGAAATAAAGCATTATTTATCAAAGTCGCCGGTCTTAGTGCCTCCTTTAAGAGGCAAACCTTTGATTTTGTACATATCTGCCGCAGATGAATCTGTAGGTTGTCTGCTGGCTCAAGAAAATAGTAAAAAGCAAGAACAAGCTGTTTATTATTTGAGTCGAAGTCTGTCACAGATCGAAGTGAAATATTCTTCGGTCGAAAAATTATGTCTTGCTTTGTTTTTTGCTGCAATAAAATTGAGGCATTATTTGCTTTATTCCGAGGTTTATGTTATTTCGAAAACTGATGTGATAAAGTGCATGTTGTCTCGACCACTGTTGCGAGGCAGAATTGGGAAATGGGTTCTGGCTTTGTTAGAATTCAACCTGAAGTACATGCCTCAAAAAGCTGTCAAGGGGCAGGCTTTGGCAAATTTCCTGGCAGATCATCCGTGCCTGGAGGTAGAAGCAGATGAGGAAAAAGGTATTAATTTATTTTCCATAAATCTGGTTCCTTGGAAGCTTATCTTTGATGGATCTAGCACAGATTCTATGTCTGGAGCAGGAATTGTTATTATTTCTCCAATTGGTTTGAAAACCCAAATATTGTTTCAGCTAGATTTCAATTGCACCAATAACCAAGCTGAATATGAGGCACTAATTATTGGGTTGGAAGTGTTGGTAGAGCTCAAGGTACCCATGGTAGAAATAATTGGTGACTCACAATTAATTTTGAAGCAATTAGAAGGTGAGTACAAGTGCACTAGTTTGTCTTTGGCACCTTATTTTGCTTTGGCAGTACAGCTCTTGGAGGAATTTGATGATGTAATCTTGAGGCATGTTACTCGAGATCTGAACACAGAAGCAAATGAGATGGCACAAATCGCCTCGGGCTTAAAAATCCCAAAAGGCGTGATGAGCAGAATTGTTGTTGCAGAAAAACGAATTCTGCCATCTATTCACATGCGTGGTATGGTAATTTCTGCTTGTTCCATAGATGTAACCCAGACAGATTGGCGTTATCCAATCATGGAATACCTCAAAAATCCAAATTTTAAGGCCTCAAGAAGAACAAAAATGCAGGCCTTGAATTATGTTCTGTTGGAAGGTGTTCTTTATAGAAGAGGATATGATGAATTACTTCTGTGCTGTCTTGGTCCAGATGAGTACTGCCAGATTATGTCAGATGTGCATAACGGAATCTGTGGTACACACCAAGCTGGAATTAAGATGAGATGGCTAATTCGTAGACATGGATTCTTTTGGCCATCAATCTTGAAAGATTGCATCAACTATGCTAAAGGTTGCAAAGCCTGCCAGATTCATGGACCACTACAGAGAGTTCCAGCGTTAGAACTCCATCCAATCGTCAAACCGTGGCCATTTCGAGGATGGGCCATAGATTTGATCGGTAAAGTTTATCCTCCTTCCACTAGAGGGCATTCTTTTATTATTGTTGCCACAGATTACTTTACCAAGTGGGTGGAAGCAAAGCCAATGAAGAAGGTTGACCAAACCAATATTATTAAATTTCTTAAGGAAGAAATCATTCACAGATTCGGTTTACCAGAAACAGTGACTTTAGATCAAGGAACAGTTTTTGTTGGTGCACAAGTTGAGGCGTTTGCAAAAGAAATGGGATTTAGGTTACTCACTTCAACCCCTCATTATGCTCAAGCCAATGGTCAAGCTGAAGCTTCCAACATAATTGTGATAAATCTGCTGGAAAAAATGGTTGATGATAATCCAAGGTGTTGGCATGAGTTGTTATCTGACACAATCTGGGCTTACAGAACTTCACAGAGTTCTACCAAGGTAACTCCATTCTCTTTAACTTATGGACATGATGCTGTTCTGCCCATGGAGTTGTCTGCTAGATCATTGCGTATAACAATTCAACATGGTCTCACTTCTGGAGAATATAATGAAGCAATGATTCTAGAGTTAGAGGAGCTTGAAGGTATGCGATTGACGGCCTTAGATGGGCTGCAAACGCAGAAATTAAAAGTGGCTCGAGCATATAACAAACGGGTGAAATCCAGAAGTCTGGCAAAAGGAGATTTGGTGTGGAAGGCAATTCTGCCACTTGGGAAGAAAGACCCCAGATTTGGGAAATGGTCTCCAAATTGGGAAGGACCATTTCGTATACATGAAGTGCTTAGAGGAGGAGCATATTGGCTTGAATCATTAAATGGAGAGTTACATCCTCGAAAAATAAATGGAATCTACCTTAAGCCTTACTATCCTATGGTATGGGAGGCTAGGGGTTTGGATACCATTGATTCTACCTAAGACAGATTTGAGGTAAGGTTTGTATAGTATTTTATTTCATTGTGTTTAGCATTTTATCATTCAATAGAAAGTGCTGAGCGAAATCTGTACGTAGGCCAAATCTGGCTGTGAACAACCACAGTGGCCAGATTTCGACCACAACAGATTTCAACCTGTACCAGAGTATGAACAGAAAGTATAGCAAGCAGATTTCCAGAATATAAGCCAAGAAAGAGATCAACATTGAAAAAGAAGTTTGCATGGCCAATAGGCCGCAAACAATAAGTTCAAACATGACAATGTGCAATTTCAACCAGACAAAGAGACAAGGAGATAAGAGAAAAATCAACAAAGGTTGTTTTGCCATGAACTCCATTCTTCTCTCATGTTCTTGATTTCTTCAACGGCTTCATCTGCAGAGGCTGTGAAAGAAGGTAGCTGCTCCTTGATCTTGGCAGTAGATTTCAAACCAGCTTCCATGTCCATGCAGAGCTTGTTTCTTTGTTCTGCCAAATTCTTCTCACTTTGCTCTGCAAGAGGAACTTGGTTTTTTAACTCTAAAAGCTTGGCCTCAAGGTTAGAGATGTCTTCTTTAAGCCCTTGGACATGTTTGACTTGTGTAATATGAGCCTCCTTTGCTGCCATGAATTTTTCCTTCTTCTTGAAAACAGTAGCAGTACTATTCGCTATAGATTTTTTCACGGATTTTGCAGCCGCTACTTTGCTTTCAAGCACCCGGAGTTTCCTGCTGAAATGGGTATAGATGGTGGTGAAGTCTGCCCAGAACTTTTGCTGAGTAGATGATAACTGTGGAGCTCGACTAAGGATTTGAGCCGCTTCAAAGGCGGCTGGCTGGTCCGGTACTTTGCAAAAATGAGAAGGATCACCATGAAGGAGCTCTTGCATGGTCATAATCGCAAAGCTAATCTGCTCCTGGGTAGGGAGGTTGATATCAAAATCCACTTCTTCAGCAATTGCCTTCCCTTTACTATCTGTGGCAGATCTAGATTTAGCCGGAGTATTCATCAACATGTCCAGCTGGGCAAGGAGTTCATTCTCCAAATCATCATCAACCATGGGCACATCAGCAGCGACACTCTATAAAATGTAAAGACAAAAGATCAAAAATGGCAACTGGCAGATATGGTGACAGATTTAAAGATCTAAGCAGATTTCAGAACAGCAAAACAACCTCAATGTCATCAACATGAACATGCCTATCAGGAGAAACTACGGGTGTAGGGGTATTCTCTTTGTCTGGGCTTAGATCGATGAGTTCATTCGGTCTAACTATTCTAAAGCTTTTATTAGCTATGCGCAAAGAGAATCTAGAACCCCTAACCTTTGTGGCTGGAGAAGAACCGTTGCCAGATTTCGTAGGGATTTCGTAGGGATGGTGGCAGAATCACCTTCATCACTTGCAGCAATGTTTTCTTCAACTTGGTCTAGCTTGGGAGAAACATCTTCTATTTTGTTAGGAGGAATCTGGGTTTCCATGGCA